TTACGATGCGGTGTTCCTTCTCACCAGCATTACTGTTGGGATGTGTCACTGATTCTAGCACCGGATGAAAGTCTTTGAAAACAAAACAAACATACACAAAAATCATAAATGTCAGGTTCCTGAAGAAAAATCATTCAGGGCTCAATGACCACTAAAAATCTAGCATGGCTTGTAATATTCGGTGCTGTAACTAAACCCTTTTTCTTCTAAGCACCGTCGATATATCAATATTATCGATATGGGTTTGATATCGATATCGCCGATGTTAGTTATTTGGTAATATTGATGTATCGAAAATATCCGATTTTTCAGAAAAATCGAATATCGAAATTTCTTATGAAACCATCGAAAACATCGTTATTGATAGGCTCGCACTTGCTTCTCAGCTTGCCAAAAAACAAAAAAATTAACGGATACATTTCTAGAAACCTCAAATGTGAATGCAACAGCAAAACATCATCAAAACAGCGAATCATAGTATCACAAGAAGGTGCACTGCAGTCAGACAAGAAAGGGCACTATTCAACATGGCAACGAAGGGTTCGGCAGTTGATTTCACAATACCGAACGACCGCTGTACTGAAAATTTAGCTTGGACCCCGTCGTGTTTGTTATAGTGGTGCTCCACTGTATATCGACCAAGACACAATATCGACGGTGCCTACAATGTATTTTCTACTACCACTATATGTCCATTGTATCCGTGTAATGTAATGTAGCTGTACATGTACTTGTATACGTAAATGTATGTAAACATAAACACATATACGCACATGTACCTGTACCAGCCGCCGGGGGGGGGGGCTGAGGGGACTTGTGCCCCCCCACAATTCCCGGTGGCCCCCCCACTGAAAACAAAAATGGATGAATAGATACACTGTATTGAACAAGGCTAACAAAACTTGCCCCCAAAAACACACCATTGAAAGCTGGTGCCCTCCCAAGATGCTGGTGCCCCCTTTGTGCCCCCCAGTAAAATCCTAGCTACACCACTGACCAATACAAGCAGACAAGTTACATGTACAGTGTATTTTTCCTCTTCAAGTTTTCCCAAGTGAAGTCCAGACACAAGTCATTTTCCCCAAAGTCAAGTCTTTACCAGTCAACTTGTCCCAAGTCAAGTCCTAAATCATTTTTTTCCAAGCCTTTCATTTTCATTTTTCTGAACTCATACAGGTACACTGTACATTTATTAAGCATGACACTGCAGCACATGCAGGCCCTCTCAACTTGTACACTTTTTCTGGCATCACATGTAAAGAGTATGGTTTAAATCCTCGTCTTCTTTTCTGTATTTTGGAAATATTAAAATACATGCACAGTGTACATGTATGTTACCGGTACATGTCTGATAAAATAGGCAGACAGTTCAGACCAGTTTTTCTATTACATGTACATGTGTGTGTACTGGTACATGTACAGTACGTGAAAACTGTATTGAGTACTGGTATATGTGGTTAAACCAAACGTTACATGAAAATGATCTACATTTTTCACGCGGTTCAAAGTGAAGGCAATAAATTATTCCAGTAGCATTAGAACTGTAGGGTCCTTAAGGATGTCTGATGATCCAAGGCAAAATGTATTATGCATCAGTAAGCATATCTGGGTACATGTGCCAGTACATGTACACAATGTACATGTATGAATTATTATTGGTGGGACCAGTGTAAATGTACTTTTGGCCATTTTCACTTGGTTATTATAGTTCTAGCCATTTTCTGAACAGAACATGAGTTGCCATAAGAACATGTACATGTATGTATAAGAGTACACATCCAAAAGGTACCAGGACCTGTAAACAGCCATCTTCCTCAGGCTAGACTGGGTTTAGGGTGAGCAGGAAGGCTTTCAACAACTGATCTTTTGTGAAATCTTAGTACAATATTTACTGTACTTACTATTTTTCAAAACAGGAATGCAAATATGACAAATTGAGTTAATTTAGCAGTGAAATCATCCGGTAAATAATATCAATATGGGTATATTTTGCCATGGTCCCATCACTTACTTATTACAGCACCTACATGCAACGTACATGTACCCCATGTATCTGTACATAAATGAAAAACATGTACATGTACATTGTACTAAGGTTCTGATCCAGTGGGCTGCAATGTTTTTTTCAACCCTGGAATCACAGTAAAGGTACTGGTATTATCCTTTATTGTTTTAAACTGAATTCATCATGTACATGTACAATGAAGGTATTACCATCATGACCCTGAGTTCTTTTTGTTTTTTGTCCTTTTTTTTGTGGAAGGCGGAGTAGAAGCCTGGCAGACACTGCAATGCCTTAGAAATTCTATTCCATGAATGTGAGTTCGTGATGGAATGAGAAACAGACTTTTCAAACACTGTCAACAAGTAAAATTTCTCATTCCAAAAATGAAACCACACAGTGTACATGTTCATCTACATGTACCACGACGGTTCAATGCACCTGTACATCAGTAACAGTTCACGGTCAAATCCGTGAAATGACAGAGGAAGGAAACATGGAGTAGGGCAACTCTGTTCCTTCATAAATACACACACACACACANTGACGATGCGGTGTTCCTTCTCACCAGCATTACTGTTGGGATGTGTCACTGATTCTAGCACCGGATGAAAGTCTTTGAAAACAAAACAAACATACACAAAAATCATAAATGTCATGTTCCTGAAGAAAAATCATTCAGGGCTCAATGACCACTAAAAATCTAGCATGGCTTGTAATATTCGGTGCTGTAACTAGACCCTTTTTCTTCTAAGCACCGTCGATATATCAATATTATCGATATGGGTTTCATATCGATATCGCCGATGTTAGTTATTTGGTAATATTGATGTATCGAAAATATCAGATTTTTCAGAAAAATCGAATATCGAAACTTTGAAAACATCGTTTTTGATAGGCTCGCACTTGCTTCTCAGCTTGCCAAAAAACAAAAAAATTAACGGATACATTTCTAGAAACCTCAAATGTAATGCAACAGCAAAACATCATCAAAACAGCGAATCATAGTATCACAAGAAGGTGCACTGCAGTCAGACAAGAAAGGGCACTATTCAACATGGCAACGAAGCGTTCGGCAGTTGATTTCACAATACCGAACGACCGCTGTACTGAAAATTTAGCTTGGACCCCGTCGTGTTTGTTATAGTGGTGCTCCACTGTATATCGACCAAGACACAATATCGACGGTGCCTATTTTCTACTACCACTATATGTCCATTGTATCCGTGTAATGTAATGTAGCTGTACATGTACATGTACACGTAAATGTATGTAAACATAAACACATATACGCACATGTACCTGTACCAGCCGCCGGGGGGGGGGGCTGAGGGGACTTGTGCCCCCCCCCCAATTCCCGGTGGCCCCCCCCACTGAAAACGAAAATGGATGAATAGATATACACTGTATTGAACAAGGCTAACAAAACTTGCCCCCAAAAACACACCACTGAAAGCTGGTGCCCTCCCAAGATGCTGGTGCCCCATTTGTGCCCCCCAGTAAAATCCTAGCTACACCACTGACCAATACAAGCAGACAAGTTACATGTACATATACAGTGTATTTTTCCTCTTCAAGTTTTCCCAAGTGAAGTCCAGACACAAGTCAACTTGTCCCAAGTCAAGTCCTAAATCATTTTTTTCCAAGCATTTCATTTTCATTTTTCTGAACTCATACAGGTACACTGTACATGTAATAAGCATGACACTGCAGCACATGCAGGCCCTCTCAACTTGTACACTTTTTCTGGCATCACACCTAAAAGGGTATGGTTTAAATCCTTGTCTTCTTTTCTGTATTTTGGAAATATTAAAATACATGTACAGTGTACATGTATGTTACCGGTACATGTCTGATAAAATAGGCAGACAGTTCAGACCAGTTTTTCTATTACAAGTACATGTGTGTGTACATGTACATCCTACGTACAGTTAGGTTTCATCATCAATAAAGTGCATGTACATATACAGTACATGTCAGAAAAAGTGTGCAAGAAGGTTTACTACACCTACAGTATGTCAACCACAAGGTCAGAAAAAAATGAAACTGGGTTTTAAGGAAAATAATATAATCCTTCATAACAAGTTCGGTTTCATCAATAAATTACACTGTCATGTAACATGTAAGTGTAAATTAGACTATTAAACATCTTCCATCAGTTAAAGTTCTGACAAAATAGTTACAAGAAACTGACCATCTCACAGACACAGATGTTTTGAAAAGGTTTATTTTACCTGAATGCAACATTTACCGCACACTGTACTGGTACATGTACAGTACATGTAAACTGTATTGAGTACTGGTTAAACCAAACGTTACATGAAAATGATCTACATTTTTCACGCGGTTCAAAGTGAAGGCAATAAATTATTCCAGTAGCATTAGAACTGTAGGGTCCTTAAGGATGTCTGATGATCCAAGGCAAAATGTATTATGCATCAGTATGCATATCTGGGTACATGTGCCAGTTCATGTACACAATGTACATGTATGAATTATTATTGGTGGGACTAGTGTAAATGTACTTTTTGGCCAATTTCACTTGGTTATTATAGTTCTAGCCATTTTCTGAACAGAACATGAGTTGCCATAAGTATATGTATGTATAAGAGTACACATCCAAAAGGTACCCGGACCTGTAAACAGCCATCTTCCTCAGGCTAGACTGGTTTTAGGGTGAGCAGGAAGGCTTTCAACAACTGATCTTCTGTGAAATCTTAGTACAATATTTACTGTACTTACTATTTTTTCAAAACATAAATGCAAATATGACAAATTGAGTTAATTTAGCAGTGGAATCATCCGGTAAATAATATCAATACGGGTATATTTTGCCATGGTCCCATCACTTCCTTATTACAGCACATACATACAACGTAGATGTACATGTACATTGTACTAAGGTTCTGATCCAGTGGGCTGCAATGTTTTTTTAACCCTGGAATCACAGTAAAGGTACTGGTATTATCCTTTATTGTTTTAAACTGAATTCATCATGTACATGTACAATGCAGGCATTACCATCATGACCATGAGTTCTGTTCTCAGAATTTTGTTTTTTGTCTTTTTTTTTGTGGAAGGCGGAGTAGAAGCCTGGCAGACACTGCAATGACTTAGAAATTCTATTCCATGAATGTGAGTTCGTGATGGAATGAGAAACAGACTTTTCAAACACTGTCAACAAGTAAAATTTCTCATTCCAAAATTGAAACCACACAGTGTACATGTTCATCTACTATGACGGTTCAATGCACCTGTACATCAGTAACAGTTCACGGTCAAATCCATGAAATGACAGAGGAAGGAAACGTGGAGTAGGGCAACTCTGTTCCTCCATAAATACACACACACACAATGCAAATGTCTTAAATTAATAAATGTCTACCAATAAAACTTGAATGAGATATGAAACCGGTACAAACAAATGAGAAATGGCCACTGTCTATTAATACAAACTCAAAATTAATAAATTATCAAACAGATCCACACACACAGTGATTCACAAGGTTACTGTTGCCAATGTAGATGTATCCATTAGCAGCACCTCGAACAGGTACATGTTCCATTTGTACTGGAACAGCCAGACCAAGATGACTGCAATAAACATGATAAAACTGGTTCTGAATCCCTGCCTTATACATGTACAAGTACACATGTACATGTACAGCGTATCCTCCACTGGTGAAAGTGGAGTACCGATATGACTATACTACACATACACGTGAACAGTACCATGTACATGTATGTCATGCCAGTCTGGTTTTTAAACCATTCAGCTTTTCAGATATTGGCAAACAATAACACTACGCAAAGATTAATGACGCTGGGTTGAGAAAATTCCAAGACATTTTATTAGGACATGTTCCAGAATGGGTAGGAATCTTCCTCCCATTTTGATCACAATTGGCAGCTCCATGTACCGGTACATGTGAATACATGCATACATGTATGTAATGGACTAACAGATTCTCTGAAAAAAAATAGTCCAATTTTTGACCTGAGAATCAGACTACAGAAGATTGTGAACACCCAATGATATCCATTCAACCAAATTGTCTGCAATATAAGTAATCAATGATATAAGAGTCGAAGACATCTCAGAGCACCACACTATCAATATATGTATATATGTAGATTACAGTACATGCACATGTTTGAATCTACATACATGTGCCCATACATATGTGTACGTACATGTAGCAAGGCATTTCCTCTCTAGTTTTTCTCTGTCATCACGTACGTAAATTAACCACACGTAAATGTACACTTTATGTTTCCACATTGCAATGCTCACTTTCTTGTACCAGTACGTACATGTATCAGAACATGTGTAAATGCAGGTCTGTGTTCTTAGGATTACCGTATTGTTTGTGAATTGTGTGGAAAGCCTGCCCTGTTGTTCGGGCATCTGTGAAACCTTATACACATAAACTCATACCTTTACTTGTGAGGTGAATTTAAACAGTTGTAAAATGTTTACAGTTGCTCAGGCGTTTACATGTTCTTCATTATAACTTTCCCAGCATTGATGTTTGGGCACATCTGGCTTTTAAGTATTCAATTTACTGATGCGTACTATTGTACATGTGTTTTCAATTTCACAATTTTATTTACTGATGGTATCAGTACATGTGCACTTTCAGTTTTACTTTCTTGCATCTGTTTTCTGTTCATACAAGTTTGCATTTCATACAATCAATAATGTAGCAGGTTCTCTGCCTGCACAAGTTAACTTTGTTTTATTCTGTTGCCATCCTTGACTGTTAAACCTACTACGTGTAAAGTTAAACCTGCTACGAACAGTATTTTGGAATTTGTATTGTGAGGATACCCAGGATATGTAGCCCCTTGTACATGTACGGATACATGTATGTAATTTGTACAGCTGTAATTTGGCTGAAAAAAAGAATGACATAAATAATTTTGGCTTATTTTACACTCTTAATATGTATAGGAACTATTGGGAGGGCAAATGCATGACATTAAATGCATTTGCAGAGCACCCAAGTGGTAGAGGTCTTTAGGCCTACTTTATACAAATATTAATGGAATTTTGTTTCATGGAATAGAACATTTCATTGGTCACCTTATGAAATTATTCCTACCCCTGCATGCAAGTGAAAAATTCATTATCCCCTCTTCTGTAAAGGAGGTCGATTAACGGTCCTCACATATTGACATCCCTCATTTGCAGAACATATTTGTGTACATGTAATATTAGAGTGGGTCCCTACTTTCTTTTCCTCTTGTGAATGAAATTGCCAGAACGTGAAATGGGAGCTGAAACAAGTTAATGTACGGTAAGTGAAAGGAAGTTCTATTCAACAGGTGCCATTGAATAAAACGAATAATCAATGGCACGTGATCAACCATCCACCAATTACATGTAGATGACCGGGATACATGTATATGCAGGTATTGCACAATGAATAATGAGGTATAAGGGCATGTCAGTGTTAGCTGTGATGTACATGTACATGTACAGTAGTTGTACCAGTACATGGTGCGGGTACAACTGCATGTATTGCCTTCACATTTGGCATTTGGCCTTCTCCCAATGTCTCATCTAAGCGCCTGTCCACCTGTTCAGGAAAGGCATTTTCTGCTTGAGTACAGAATTTATCAAATAATTTGTTATACAAACCTTTAAAACTGCTGAACAAAATCAACTCTTGAAGTTCCAGGCATTGAATACAATAGAAATATTGGCTCATATTGCACCTAGGGGTATCAGTTTTACAAATATTGCTCGGAGTGGACAGACACTTTTTAACATTGCCTAGGAAAGGAAAGGCAGATACATGTACATGTATATGTTGATCCTACATGTAAATGAAACATTTATTTCATATTTAGAAGTACACATAAGTCTAGTGTCACCATCACGCATAGAGTGTCTTTTTGGATTCAGACACATCTAAAGTATGCAATTTATACATGCAGTATTTTGCCGGCCTCGGCTAAATTGCAGTACTTCATGCAGCCAGCTACCTGTCAAGGTAAGGGGGTGCACAGCTACAGGTAGGTACATGTACATGTGCATAGACAGTGTCTTCTTTGATGCATACATGTACACTACATGTGCTATTACAAATGAAAGGTACATGTACATGTAACTGTGTGAAAAGGCATGAATATCTTTTCCCACGTGTGGGATAATATGTGAAACTTTTTTCCCACTTGTGAACATTTTTCCCACTTAAAAGAGTGTGAAAATTTTTCCAGCTTGTGAAATACATGCAAGTTGTGAAAAATTTCCCACTGAAGGGGAAAATTGTTCACAATTTGTGAAATGAATATACATGTACATTTTCCCGGATTGGAAGAATTGTGAAACTTTCCCCTTCTGAAAGTACCTTTCAACTGCAATGTAATGTATACGTATAAAAAATGTACATGTAAGAAAATACCACTAATAATTATGCAAGACTTGCAGCGAAGAGGACATAACCTCCTCCCAAGGAGTTACTTTATTTCCAGGTAGTCCCCACAATTATCCTGTGTACAGTTACAAGTACATGTACGTATTTGATGTTTAATTTCAAGGTACGTACACATAGAACATGTACTTGATTTCATGTTTGCTAGGATAAAATTGCATGCCATGAGGACTTGACCCTGTGTTAATACCAGACACCACAGACTAAAACGAACACCAATTAAAAGTATGGTCAGGCACCAGACTGATCCTCATGAACACGCAAACGATCTAATCCCCAGGTGAAAGCAGAAGGCCATGGGGAGGCAATGCTCAACACCATAGGGATGATGGCAATTGCAGTTGATGGCACCTAGCTACATGTACAAGTATATCTTACGAGCATGCTGAAATATTTTTCTAGCTGGCTTCGAATATCACGCGGTGGCTTTTTCATCCCAAAATATTAAAACCTTTTTTAAGTTTTGGTTATTGTACCCGTGAATTGACTCCAGCACTTAATTACCACATTTTGTTTTCCTAGACTTGTGGTTCTGGAGGACTGTTTGTACCCCCAAAAAAATCTGAAACTGCATAAAGTGGTCTGATTTCCATAATTCCATCTCATGAAGATGAAGTCGCGACATACTTTTATGGCCCCCAAAACACTTACATAGTATCATGTAGTACATGTAGGACTACTGTGCATTTTTATTGCTCATCCAGCAATCTATCATTTTGCTAAATTCAACCGGTGCCGTGAAAATACAGAGCATACATGTATACTGCCTTCTTGACAATAGCTTTGCTTACACCTTTTTTTGTTGTCGTGGAGGGCACACTGCATTACACTGACATGACTGAGGCCTGGTAGGCTAGTGTGCTACTGGTAACTGTGATAGAGAACAGGTCAACATGTACACGCATGGTACCAACAACCAATTCATATGGTTTGGTCAACCAGTCTTTGTGATTTGGAAATTGCAGGCGTGCAAAAAACACACTCCTGGACATTTCCAGGCGTGCAGTTTTTCTAGGAGTGTGATTTTGAAAAATGAATCAAAACCTTGGGTCAATCAAGACATAGTAAAATACAAATATAAATTGGGTCAACATTACATATATATTGAAACAATCAACAAAACAAACAAAAAATAGTGCAACAGTTTCAGATCACACCCGCTTACTTCAAGTAAACTTGAAGAGGTACCGGTACATGTACATGTATGTCCAATATATGTAAAAAAGAATCAAAGTTTTATGATGGTCATAAAATCATGCCCTTCCATAAAAGCAGATTTGACAGACCATGCAGACCTCCTCTGAGACAAGATCACTCTAATTCTCCATTAAATTTTCCCACTAAATCTCCTGATTTTCCTGAGGTTTCTTTTCGCCAGATCTCTTTCCTGTGAGCTTGGTGAGTTACATGTACATGTATTTCCATTCATAAAAAAAGATTTAATTGGGAAACATCAGGAAGTTTAATTGTCTGCACAGAAAGATCTGCTGTGATCCACGCTGGCACAAGTCTCCATGGCTTTCATGCACTATGTGGTGCATCACGATTGACTGGTCTGGTCCCATTCTAAAACTTCAAAGGCTGTGTGACGTCGCTGTACTGAGCGATTGTACACTGACAAAGCTGTCGCACTCAACTGTTTCGCTGAGAGAATCAAACATGATTCTGTAATCACTAACTTTTAGCTGAGGTAGGCCTAATGTTTGATTTTTTTGTTTCATTTTTCTCACAAATTGCGAAGTATAATTATAAAGTAAACTCATGCGACCAGTTGGTCGCCATCCGAGTTGGCCATGTTGGCACATATGAGTTCACACGCGTACAAGTTGACAAGCATTCTCATGATGCTGCATACATGTACATAAGTAGTAAGATTATGTGGGTCTTGTGGGCACCCCCATTTTAGTAATCTAGCCCACCCTAGGGCATGTGCACAGCAACCTCCCGCTTTGTTCTCTGACCCCCTTTCCCACCACTGTCCCTGACGTTGCCACGAAAACTAAGTTTGGAGCTGTCAAGCTGGTCCGTTCTTGTTGGATAATCTACAACAGGGTACTTTTCTATTCAGCTGAATCCCTGCCCCTGTACCGACCCTTCGGAGGCTGCCCAGGTTGGATGCTGGGCGAGTTAAGACACCCCCTCCAAAACACTACATGTACATGTACGGGTGCCTCTACCCGAGTCCTAGGCATGGCATGTGCCCACACCATAACCATGTTATAGGAACTCTTCAAGACGTACACAGGCATTCAGGTTTATCCTATTGAGCTACTGCTAAATTGAAGGTGGTATTTACTAAATTAATATAGGCCTACATTTGGAAAAACATCCTGGCAAAATAGCTTTGAAAAACTGTTGCCGTTCCCGGCAAAATATGCACTTCCTTAAGTTAAACTTCCCGTAAAATACATGTAGCCATTACAGTACTGTACGAAAAACAAATCATCTTTTATGTAGAATTCATCATATCATGCATAGGCCTAGGCCTACATAGCCTATTCGCTAAACCATCTTTTTACCCTGGATTACATGTACATGCTAGGCCCATATGGCCACAACTTGTCAGCAAGCCTACTCACATTTCATGGGAGATTCACTGAAGTGCAAATACGCGAGGACAGTCATCAATGTAAAGATCAATGCTACTGCGACCACTTTCCGAGACAGAGTGGCCATAATTTTTCCCCTTTTTTCCGATAAACCCGCTCAGAAAAATGTCCTCAATACATACAAAATGTAATGCAAGATGAGTCAAACTACAATTTAACCCGTGGCAGAAACTCCGAAGTCATAGTTAGAACTGTGATCTACCAGTACAGCTTCGCTAATGCTCGCCATGCAGCTCATACTAAAATTCACTATGCATATGGCAATGAACGTTAAACGTGATCTGCATTGCCAATGCTATATGATCAATAGGCGTGGAGGCTGCTGATAAGCACTGTATGACGCGGTCATCCTATCTTTTTGTTTTTGTATAGCCGTAGCCTAGCCATTGACAATTGCACTACACCAATGTACGCCCGCATAGAAAACAGCGCAAAAACACAGACCAGTTTATTGTTTTGGCGTGGTCTGGTTCCCTGCCCAAAGATTCCCTGACGACTCTTGGAAAAAAAAAATTATTTAGGGTGCAGACCACTAACTCAAGTGAGAATTTCTGACCAGCTCATTAGCATTAAAAGTGCCTCCCCCACGGTATCTTTTGAAAAAGGAGATTGTTTGGCCCCCAAAATGGTGAGATTGTGTAAATCGTTGCCAGGATCAACTCCCTGGGTCTTTAAGCTTTCATATGAGGGCAGAGAGGCTGAAAACTATGGTTGAAAAATGGTCCTAAG